AGTTAATTAAGTTGTACGAAGCTATCAGCTGTCGGGGTCTAGACAAAGGTGGTCTAGAAGAACCGCTGATTAATGTCGGAATATTACATGGGTAGCTGTAGGGGGCTAAACATTAGCCACAAACCTCTGAATAAGGATAAGAATGGCGAGTTTTGTGATCGTGGAGCCCACACATAGCGGCCGGCGTGAGGCATCCTAAAAACGATATAGATTCCTAGTGAACGAGTAAAATACAAAGTAAAGAGTTAATTAGAATAATCGAATGTACGAATAATCAGAGACCGACAAACAACCAATGTGCCTTTCAACCTAAATTCGATGAGATTAAACCAAAATTAAATAACCCTGCTCGCTGAAAAGACCGAACACGCAAGAAACCTTCATCCGCCACTGGATACCTTCCTTGGGCCAGAAGCGCGGACCTTACAGAGTGAAATATTTTTACTATTTAAAATAAATGTTTCTATTTGAATATATTTCAAAATGCAATTTATTCCTGCGATTTCAAAGCTGAATTTTTAGCATCATTACTCCAGTCACATGATCCTTCAGAAATCATTCAAATATTCTGATTTGCTGCTCAAAAAACATGTAGTATTATTATTATGTTGAAAACAGCTGAGTAGAATTTTTCAGGTTTCTTTGATTAATAGAAAGTTCAGAAGCACAGCATTTATCTGAAATATCATTTTTTGTAACATTATGTCTTTATTGTCACTTTTGATCAATTTAAAGCATCCTCGCTAAATAAAAGTATTAATTTCTATAATTTCCCCCCAAAATAAAAATAAAATAAAAAAATGTAATAAAAAGACTGACTCCAAGCTTTTGAATGGTGTATGTATAATGTTACAAAAGCTTTTTACTTCATATGAATGCTGATCTTTGGATCTTTCTATTGGATCTTTCTTACTGTTCAAACATTTTTGACTGGTAGTGTATGTATGTAGCCTATGTATCACACTCATATCACATCTTGTTTTGGATAAGAATAAAACGTCAATATCGTGTCTTTTTTTATTTAAATCTAGCTTTATTCGCACTGGCCCATGGAAACCTCTATGAACACACTTGACTTGACTAAAAAATCGCGGGGGACGAATTTACGTTTTATTAAAAAGTATTTACGCATACACTCATGGCGCGCAGCCGCGCACACACAATAGGATAGGTTAGATTCCTGCCTCCGTTGCGAGTCCCTATCAAGCACTTTACCAATTCAACTACTCTCTTCTTCTCCTCCTGCCTTGCTCTTTGGCCTGCATCACTCACCGCAGAGCAAGCCTGTTCTTGATAAATCTGCTGTGAAAACGTGGGAAAAGCCGACGAGGAAGAAGTTGGGGTGATGCGATCTTTATATAGGCGGAGCAAAATACTTCATCGCTCCGTCTATAGCGCATTGTGATTTGATGTTTACGCTGTCAATACAGGAGACAAACCAATGGGCCACTGGCTGCTCACTGTCCCTGCGTGATGGTTTTCGGCAAAAAGGCAAAAAAACATTCTGTCGGCCCTTTAAATGCGCCGGCCCACCGGGAAAATGCCCGGTATGCCCGATTACCAATCCAGCCCTGGGTGTGGGTGATTGCAGAGAGAGTGCAGTTGAGCAAAAGGAGGGATGATGGGAAATGTAATGCTTGACTATCACTGAGCTGGTGACCGTGACACAGGACATGCACAAGGTTTGACATTCTTTCTCATATGTTCTTGTGTTCTTCTGGTTTTCTCCTTATTACTTGACAGTGATGGGATGTGTAAAGTTTCTATGGAAGCCCATTTCCACCACCACCACTAAAAAAAAAAAAAAAGGTAATTTACGATTTTTTAAAATCTCACAGTTCTGACTTTTTTCTCGCTATTGCGAATTATAAAGTCAGAATTGTATGACAGAAACTTACAGTTGTGAGTTACAAAGTTAAATCTTTAAAACTCTAAAGAGTTTATATCTCAAAACTTGCAATTGCAAGAAAAAAAAGTCTGAATTGTGAGATAAAAAGTCACAATTACGTTTTGTTTTTTTTATTCAGTGGTGGAAATGGTCTTCCATAAGTTTCTGACCTGTTCATATTTTTTCATAATATGGTTGTTGTTGGTTGATGTTGTTCAATTAATAAAAGGATAACACAAATGTTCTAGAGCAGGATGAACTACAATGGTATAAATGATTGTCTTGTAGTGTTTTAAGATGATCAAAAAGCAGAGCTGAGATGGAACAATTTTTCACAAGGTATCATCATAAAACATCTGATTCTGAAATGTTGCCACAGCGCATAGCTTTTACACTTACAATTTAATGAATTTCAACCAGTTCACCATTATTGTTTTCAACACTTTTATGAAACATATGTGTTGTGATTTGATTAGTCAAGATTTAAAGAGGCATGACCATAAAGTCAGATTTAGGGTTGTGTTCAAATTTGTGTTGATGGATTAAAAAAAAAATTGTCCAGGATAAAGATTAAAAATTATAATATTAAACATTTGAGTGTTTAAACATCTTTTTCCAAGAGCTGATGTGCTTCAGTTCTGCAGCTTCATTGACAGTGGAAGGAGTATTCAGTCTCTGACTGATCACCTGAAGAAAAAGAAGAATGTTAACATTTATACAATAATGGAAACCTGGAAAAAATGAAAAAAAACAGCAAGGGCTGGTGCTCTCTCTGGCAGCGGCAGGTCGCAGCGCCACTTCCGGTGGCATCCCCAGATGCCACGGCAACTGCCACTAATCGTTTCTTCGGTTTTTCTCACCGTTTTTGCTGTTTGCTCGGTAAAAACTACACTGTTCTCAGTGGCGTGCGGTGGTGTTTATTTTTAAATGATGATGCAACGTTGCCACAATTGTATTATTATTATTATTATACATTTTTATGTATCAACTGCCAGAGTTCATGCCAGGAGTCACTGGCAGCTGCCACGGTCTTTCTTGCCATTTTTGCTGTTTGCTCGGTAAAACCTACACTGTTCTCAGTGGCGTGCGGTGGTGCAAAGTCGCGCACACAAACATATATTTATTTATTTAATGTAACACTTTAGTTATTAACTAGTTGCTTGCATATTACTATATTAGCTGTTTATTAGTACTCATAAAGCACATACTAATGCCTTATGCGTGACCATATTCTACATCTTACCCTATACCCCATGGTCACCCCACACTTTTAAGAACACGTAAATTCGTCCCCCGCACTTTTTTTCGGGCAAGTGTGTTATAGACGTTTTCAAGGGCCGGTGTGAAAGAATATAGATTTAAATTCAAAGAGACAAGATAGTCTGTGCATACCTAATGTTTTATTATTAGTACCCAGAATGAGGTGAGATGAACATCACGGAGTGCTCAACACTCTCATTCAGTGTGTGTTTCATTCATACTCTAAGACGGAGGGAGCTCTCGTGCAGAAAGTGCAAAGACGGACTCGTATAGAAGTAATAATTTATGACGTACCAGGAAATCCCTAATATGGACAAAAGTCCAGCTATCACTGTATGATCTGAATAAAAGGCAGAAACCTGGAAACGTGAAGATTGCGAGAATATATGTTTTATTTTTAAATCATCTCCAGGTAATAAATAAAGTATATGAACAATTTAGTGCTACTTGACATAGCATTTATTACAGTAGGCTACAGAAACTATTCTGCCTTATTATGTGATAAAACAATTTTTAAAAAAGTGTTTGTTGTACATTAACAAAACATTTATTGGTTATTGTCTGACAGTGTATCTGATTTCTTAGCCAATTAAAAGAAAGAAATAAGAGAAAAAATAAAGTTTCCTATATTCCTACAGTGGGTACGGAAAGTATTCAGACCCCCTTAAATTTTTCACTCTTTGTTATATTGCAGCCATTTGCTAAAATCATTTAAGTTATTTTTTTTTCCTCATTAATGCACACACAGCACCCCATATTGACAGAAAAACACAGAATTGTTGACATTTTTGCAGATTTATTAAAAAAGAAAAACTGAAATATCACATGGTCCTAAGTATTCAGACCCTTTGCTCAGTATTTAGTAGAAGCACCCTTTTGATCTAATACAGCCATGAGTCTTGTTCATATTCTGGTCACATCTGCTTGCTAGTATATAGTACGCGCCATCAAATATTGTATTTAAAAAAACTTTAGTTTACAGCAGAAACGGTAACAAACGATCGTGACTCCTGGCACGAACTCTGGCAGCTGATATACAAATGTATAATAATAATAATAACAACAACAACAATAAATAACACACCTGTGGGAACTTTGCCTTGTTATTTTAAAACACCATCGCTCACCACTGAGAGCAGTGTAGTTTTTACAGAGCAAACAGCAGAAACAGCGAGAAAGACCTTGGCAGCTGCCACGAACTCTGGCAGCTGCCAGAGGAAATCCGTGGCATCTGGGAATGCCACCGGAAGTGGTGCTGCGACCTGCCGCTGCCAGGATTTGTGCTTGCTCTCTCGAAAAAACAAAACAAAACTGAATAATCTGTATCACATGATAAAAACATTCAACACTGGCATATAAAATCTTACTTGTTTGGTAGTAATCATACACTTTGACCACAGCTGGCTTGAGATTCTTCACTGGAAGAACCTGTTTCATTTGTATCTGGTAATTCATTGGAATATTTTTTGGGATCTGCATGAGGAAACAATCTCATCAGTCATTATGGATAAAATGTTTATGAATTGACATAAACAACATAAAATATGAATGTTGCTGTTCTCTCACCTCCTTCAAATACACGATGACATGATCATCTTTAGCATCGACCCGCTCCACAAGTGATACATACGTTCCAAAAGAAGTTCCGAGCTGTGTGGAAAAAGTGCTGGTTAATCTTTAAATACTGACCTCTATAAATTTGACAAATTTGTCATGAAACACTCAAATGCACCACTGATGTATCAGATGTGAATCCAGACAAGAGTTTAATATCCACAATGACCATGTTAGTCCTTTCCTGTAGACCATCATATCTGGAAAAAAGCAAATGGAAAGGAATAGTTCTTAAATGCCTCATATAATAACAAAATTATTAGTGAAAATTATGCTTTATATATATTAGGGCTGCCCCCTAATAGCCGACTAATCGTTAGTCAACTTGACGACTGCCCTTAACCAAGTTCCACATATGGTAACACTTTTTTTGTATGTGAACGCTATTTTAAATATTATGACAAGTTTAGTACAAAGCTTTGTTTGCAAAAGAACTAACAGGTTAGCATCCTAAACATTTGGATGCATGCCAAATGAGAGAGGTACATGAGCCCATACATTTAAGCCATATTTCGGCTTTGTATTTTGTTTAGTGATCTGGTCACACTATTTTCCACAAATTTAATGAGTTATAGCCTTAATGTCTTGTATGTGCGGAAGACAACATTTTCTCTTCTCACCTTTAACAACAAGTGTCATTTGCTTTGGTACATTGGGAGAAGACATGTAGATATTAGACAAGAGATAGTCTCTGTCCTGTCACGCATTAAATTAATATCATACACAGGTGTGATTAGTTGACAATAGCTTAAATGAATGACTGGTAGTCAACTAGGAAAATCTTTAGCTGGTGGCAGCCTTCAGTTGATATATATATATTATTTACACACACACACACACACACACACACAAAGTGTGTGTTCTTACTTGACAGAGAAGTTCAAGATGAAATTTTGTCCCAATGTTTTGCAGTCTCCCTCAATTTTAGCATCAATGCTCAATGTTTTAGCTTCAGTAAAAGTGGGAATGTTGTAGAACTGAGCCACCTGAGAGAGTCAACACAATGAAGCGTCAAGCGTCAAACACAATGAGAGTCAAGTCAATGAAGCTGAACGCACTACAGACCTGCACAGACACACAGGTTGAGCCCTTCACTTCAATGCTGTATTTGGCTGGAACGTTCTGCAGCTGCTTCTCCTGGTACAGTAACTTGTTGTCCTGATTGACATCAAAGTGGTGAGTGTCTGCTGCTGACTGTACAGTCACTGTGCTGGAGCCGTCAGAGCTGAACACTTTGGTGGCAAACATCTCTTTAGGCTATCATCATAATGTGGTTTTAATTTGTTTTGCTACACGTCACAGACCTGCACAGACACACAGGCTGAGCCCTTCACTTCAATGCTGTATTTGGCTGGAACGTTCTGCAGCTGCTTCTCCTGATACAGTAACTTGTTGTCCTGATTGACATCAAAGAGGTGAGTGTCTCCTGCTGACTGTACAGTCACTGTGCTGGAGCCGTCAGAGCTGAACACTTTGGTGGCGTACAAAGACAGAGCTTGAAGAGCCACCACTGTGTCCTGAGAAATAAATGTGTTCAGTAATGTGACTTTCACCCATTATTCAGCAATCATGTGTTTCATTTGAGTAGTTTGAGTCACCTGTGTAGAGGAGAATCCTCCATAGGCATTCTGCTGCTTCACAAGCCAGCTGACAATCCTGTTAGCAAAGCCCAGATCAGCTGTAGTGAGTGAATCTGCAGTGAGAGCAGCTAGCAGCACATATGAGCTGATCTCCACTGCCAGAGAATCAGAGTCAGCAGATGCAGACTGAGACCAGTGGAGATAAGACCCTTTAGGACACATGAATAAAGAGACACCAGTAACTCAATGAGCATCACAAAAAACAACAGTACAGTCATAAAAGACAACAGAAAGTCATTGGAAACAAATCTCTTACCCTCTGAAATAGCAACATCCTCCAGTTTCTTGAAAAGCTGCTGTCGAGTGTCCGTGTCTCTAGCCAGACTGAAAGTGTAGGCGAGCAGAGCAGTGGTGTAAGTGTTTTTGACATTTTCAGTGACGGACCTCAAGCAAGACAAACCATTAGTGACGACAGGATCCTGAGACAAAAACAGAGAAACAGCTGCTGTGAGTGTCATTTTTCTATGAGTTTATAGTGTTTCCTGTAGATGAACTTACTGTGACTGGAGTTTCCAGTTCAAGCAGTGATGCAGTAATGTAGGCAGTCATGGTCACATTATCATTCACTCCACCCTGTAATGAAGGAGAAATAGAGGTAAATAAAGTAACACACTCAAAACTATTAGAGGAAAGTTAATCTAGACAAATGTTAATGTTAACATTAAAGTGTAAATATATATAAAAAAATAATACTTTTTACACTTATACAGGTAATAGATAGATAGACAGACAGACAGACCTTCATTCTGTTGTTGAACAGTCTTCCTTGTTGGATAAAACAGCCGTCTGAATCCCTTCTGCTTATTAACCATTGCTTTGCAGCCTGAATAATTTGTGGATCAATAAATACGTATTTCTGAGCTTTGCCAAAAGACCTCAGGACAAAGGCAGTCAACCTGGTGGTGTGGAAGATTTACTTTTAAAAATGTCATCAGATGTTTCAATGAAAAACAAAACAAATCTCTCAAAACAAATGTTTTGAACAGATAGAATTTAATTTTTTTTATTATATTATTTTAGATTACTAACAAAACTTACTTAACAAAAGAGCGAAAAAATATTTACCATGTATTTCCATCACCATGACCAAATGTGCTGTATGCACCATCAAAATGCTTGTAGTTCAGTTGTCTCTGGTATCCTGTTTAGTGTGATAATGGTTCACTTTAACAGTTTGTTTGGGGTGACACAATGTGTCTGACTATTCAGCTTAATTGAATGACATTCAGGTGTGTTGAAAACAGTCTCAGTATTTTCTTGACATGATTGATTTTTCTCACCGCTCTTTAGGAAGCTGGTGGCTCTCTCTCGGATGTCTGAGGTGAGCTGCTCCGTGTTTTCCAGATACTGCAGAATGTAAATATTGGGAGAAAGAACAGCCATGTTTTGTTCTCCACAGCCGTACGGCATTCGTAATAATCCGTGAAGATTCCTCAATGCACGACCCAATATGTCTCCTACAATCCAAACACAAATGAAACTCACTACATTTTAGAAACCCAAACACAAACTCCTCATTTCTGCTTGTGTATGTACTAATTTCTGTACTAATTTACAAATTTCTGCTTGTGTATGTAAATGTTACCAATGACTGAAACAGAGGATCTGGCTGATCCCTCTATCACATCTTTAGGAAGAGTCAGATTCACTTCCTCTGAGAGACTGTCACCTATGAACCAGAGAGACAGAAACACATATCAGTGATCAGCAGAGAAACGCTATAAAATGAACATTCTAATACCATCTGTGAAGTCCCATTAATAATAATAAAATACTGTAAATTAAAAATCACAGGCAGAAATGATTGTGATTCAAGCGCTTTGTAAAAAGAAGAGAAAATAGCCACAATTTTGAAATTTGGCACAACTACACTAGTTGTCACGAAAGGTTGACAAATTTCAGCTTTCTCTTTTAAAATGTCACAGACATATGAGCATATGTTGGGTTATATTTTCATATGGTTTGTGTTTAGAAATGAATGGGCTAATTAGTCTTTACAGAACATACATGCCAAAACAACTTGATTATTCAAAATTCTTTGAGCAACTTTTTGTGAGTTTAAATATTTATTGGTCCCCTAAAAACTAAATACAAGCCAAAGCATTCCAGCATTATCGGCGCTTATACACCAAAATATATGAAATATTTGCAGACAAACCCTTTGGGCACAGTAACCAGCTGTAGGTCTCTGTCTTTTCAGTTCCTTCAGCCTGCAGCATAAAACAATAACATCACCACATCATACTGACATAAGCAGTATTAGGATCATGATAAATGACGTCTGAGAGCCATTTGACGTGCGCTGACCTGCACAAGCAGACTACGTGTGACTGTGTCAATGCGTCCTCTCTCTGGCACGCTCACAATCTCATTGTCACACACAGTCTGGGACGCCTCTGCCTCTGCACTGACTGTAATATTCAAGACTCCTACAACACAAGACATGTACGTGAAGATACAACAGACACAAACACTGAGAAACAATGATTCAGACTGGAAAACTCACCAAGAACAGAAGGAGTGAGGATCCATTTAAAGGTTTTTCTTCCATTAGCACACAGACAGGATGAATACTGATCATCAGAGGAGGCTTCGAGAGTGTAGTCTGAGGAAGCAGTTGGAGTCACTTTAACCTGTCAGTCAAACACACATGATTAGTGGCATATTTGATATGATTGGATAAGACTGAGTCTGAAGTCTCACCATGATGCACTTGGACAGATAGTTAAAGACAGTGGCCTTCAGCTCAAAGATCTCCCCACGAATGATGGAGTAAGGCAGTGAGAGCTCCAGGAAGAAGGGCTGGAAAACTGTCAGCTGAGCAGGAGGAGCCAGACCCAGACCTTTGGAGGACAGACAGAAGGCCTCCGTCTCCCAAGAGGTGATGGTGTCAGGAACCGTGACAGGAACCTGAGTTGATCCAGAGTCTCTGTTGTGGAATTACAACAACAGGCCTATTTGATTCTGACTCTGCCATTAAGCATCTATTTTTTCTGTTATATATAACATTCAGCACACACACACACACACACACACACACACAAACTAGACTCAGAATCTGCAAAGCAAATAAGATTTATTTTATTTATGTATTTATTTATTTTTTGTCGTCTGGAATATGATGTATTAAGTATATGTTTCAATATGATGTCAAATGTACTGATTATGTTTCACAGACCCCACTTCAGCAAGTTCCCAGATCCATGTTTCTGGAAAAACTGTCCGAATTGTCACTGCTGGGGAATCTCTACTTGATATTTGAAAATCAGCATCGGCTAGTGAAGACATAACTGCCACTGGCATTGGAATATGTTGACGATACACCACTGAAAACATATGTGATATTTATAGTAAATGTGGAAATATGTATGTGGACAGCACATCAAAATAACCAAGTTTATATACTGTGGTGAGTAAAACAGCAAATGGAAGACAGATCATCATTATAATAAACAGATTATTTTTATATACAACTTCATTTTAGGGTTGTTTAGTGTAGTGTTTTAGTTTCAGTAAATTTAGTTTAGTAATTGTAGTTTTATGGCTGCCAAAATTAATGCATTAAGTTTCATTTTATTTAACAAAAAAGTTTAATTTACCTTTTTTTAACAACAATAATAATGATTCAAAATTAAAAAAATTGAAAAACTTACTACCCCAGAAAAATGTTTGCCTTTTCCTACTACACCACTCTAGTTGTGGATGTGAATTTCAAATTGAACATATTTTATATCTGAAATATATTTCAAAACAAACAACTACATATTTTATATAAAATTACAGCATGAGTTATAATGTACCAATGTAGCTACTTGTACCGATATTATGGTGTCTGAAATAAGTCAGGTCTCTGTATGACAGACACTGAGGGACTCGCACAGCCAAATTTGTTGCCATCTTCAATCCAACTCTCTGTCAAACGGCAACAAAATGGCACTTTTAATTGTCAAAGCAATCAAGAGGGCTTTTTATGCATTTACTTATGAATATACAGAATATACCGAATCAATATCTCCCAATCATTATCTACTGCACTGTCACTCATATAATCCACCTACCTTTAAGGATTCATAGGCGTTGTCTGTCGGCAGAGCTCGACGGGGTCTCACATGCAGACACCCCTGCTCATCTTCAACACTGTAAGGAAAATCTGACACCGATTGCACTGGCAGCAGGTTGAAGATCTGTGATGAGACCACATTCACACTGATTTCTAAAATGTCAACACTAAACAATTCATATATTCCCCCCCCCCAAAAAAAATGTTTTTTTTCTTTCGATTTTGGTGAGAAAGAATGAAGATTAATGTTCAATCTCCTGAGATCGGATGTCATAAATACTGATGGATCACAGTATCTAAGGATAGTCTGTTCTCACTTGATTCATCCTGTAGATTCCCAGACTGAAAACACAGGTAATCAATACTGAATTCTAAAGCATCTACACCTTGTCAGTATCCAGACGTTTTCCTGACTCCATGATCAGGACGCTCTGATCTACAGCACTGAGGCCGCACAGTGAACCAGGCTGAGCTGAGAGCTGAAGAGTGTTTTTCTCACCGGGAACTGCTTTAACAGGAGAAAACTGCAGGGAAACCTGTAATGACAGTAAATATTATTTATTTAAGGAATGAGCCAGAAATACAGGCTTATTACTCAAGATACAATACATACCTTGTTACTGAAGCATTTTTCAACATCAAATTTTGTGTTACCAGCAGCAACATTTTCACTGGGCAGAACACAGTAGGCCAGAATCTGCACTGCAGGAGCCAGATCTGCACCAACAGATAGTTTGAATGGCACTGTGCCACTTGCTGCTCCATTAGAAGACTTCACTTCAACCTTCTCAGATCCATGATGAACGATCACTCCTCTGGACAAGACCTGAAACAGACAGTTGACACTCCAATAAGAAACGGAGGATCCCAGAGGATCACTGTAATACTGTACATAGCCAATGAAAATGCAGCAATTGTACTCACTATATAGACAATGTCAGTTTTGAATTCTTCAACAGTCTCTCCGACAAAATAATACTTGATGGTCACTGTAAACTCAGCATCACACTTTAACGGTTGCTCAATATTCTCTATAATCAGTTCACTTAGTATTGGGGTGTATGGAGTGGCAGGCTGGAAAAGCGTAACTATTTTGCTATCCATAGAGATGTAAGGTGTTTTGTGACCATGATAACGAAACTCTGGATACACACTTGCCTGAAAAACAAAGAAACTAAAGTTACTCAAGCAACCGAACCCTTCAGCGAACATAAAAGAGAACTAGGTAAATAAAGTGATCATACAATCAGATTAATATCACTTTCAGAAAGACTAGACGTATTAAGAGAGAAGCTGGCGAAACCATCGCTGTCTGTTGTGAGATTGAGGAGCAATTTTGAGGACCAAGTTTCACCCTCAAAAAGATAAACCTCTTTGTTTTGAATTGGTGCATCTTTGAAATTTGAGAGTTTGATCTGTTAAAAACAAGATTTTCAAGGAACAAATGATGGAATTATTCTGCACATATCAATGTTATTAAACTGAGACAAACTGATTTTAGACTTACTTTTCCTTCTATAACTGATCCATGTTCATAAGTTTTGGGCAGGTCAGTGAGTGTGACTTTGCCAATTTCATAAGTGAGAGACAGAGATTTATATTTCGTCATGGTGATCTCTGTAAATGGTAAAAACAGCAAATTATTATTTATTAAAACAAAATACAAATAAAAAATTAAAAACAGAAAATCAAGAAATGTGGGTAACAGGCATCTGACTAAATCCAACGGCTTACCTGTTTCTTCTTCTGTAACCATTGCTTCAACTCTAAGAGAATTCTGCAGATTATACTTTAGTGTGGAGTTGAAAAAGACTGATGCATCTAAGGTATGGATGGCACAGCCTGTCTTTTTGATCTAATTGTAGTAAATGAACACAAACATTAAAGAGTAGTTTACAACTAAAGAGTAGTTTACTTGGATAAACGGAAGACATATGTGCCATTACTTGTATTGCATTTCAACTCACGTACCTCAGTGGTTTCCTCTAAACATACTGGATTGCTATCATAGGTTTGAATGTAGTGCAGAATATCACGGCACACTTTCACCCATGATTTACCAGGTACAGGCTGCCCGTAAGTGTATCTGTGAAAAAGGTACAAGCAACAGATATACAGCCCAGGGTTGAGTTAATAAACTAATATATTACGATGGGGGTTACAGTAAGTAACTCTAAGTGCTAAAAATGGAAGAAAACACTGCTCTCTTAATGCAGAAAATAAAATAGACCACTCACTTTCCGCAAACCTCAATTAACAGTTCTTCTTCATCAACACTCACTTTATCTGGACTTTGTACAATAACTTCAAACTTAGGCAAAACTAGAAGTCAGGAGGCAAAAATTAGACTTATTAGTAGTCAAATTAGAAATTAATATACAAAGATATTACTGAAATGAATCCCATGCAATATTGTACATTGTTTTTTTTATGACTTACCATATTTTTTCACCTCAAAACCATGTGAGATCATCCTTTCACCAATATAAACCCTGAGTCTGTACACACCTTGACGGGCCTCTGGGTTTAAGTCATAAGAACGCTGCAATATCCACCTTGTTGAAGAAACATTTGTCCACTGACCAATTCTGTTATCTTGACTGTCCTGTTTAATACCAAAGACACAGTTCAGATATTTAGTTACAGTCAGCTACACATATCCTGACCATTATCGAAGAAATGTAGCCTATAATTACTGAAAATACAATAACTGCAAATATAACAGAATTTCAGCAGTTTTAATAGGATTTAAAAAGTGTGCTTGTTATGACTGGACAGAAGGAAGTTTTGTGTTCTTACCTCAAGCACGATTGAACCATACTGCAAAAGAGCAAATAATAATTCAATTATTTAGGATATTAAAATGATTTAAAGCCAGAAATGTGTTGGTTATTAATAACGTATTCAACAATGCAAAAGAAAATTAGGAAGATAAAAATTCAAGACAAAACACATCAGACCTGCTGATCAAGTGGTGCAAAGTTTGTATCCACGGTAACAACTCTGAAGTTCACTGTGAAAACAGAAATGTGTATTATAACCTTTGCTTTTAACATCTTAATCTTTTATGTTGTCCGACAATCCTTAGCGTATAAAATAAACCAGAACTATTTAACAAAATAGGCCTACTTACTGAGAAGAATAATTTAAGAGCACATAAACCTGGAGGACATGCAAGAATGTATTCGCATCGGTTGTAACCACATTAGTGATAGTCACTAAAGTAATATCAAAGACGACAACGTAAATTAAACTGTAAAGTCTTATCTCATTAAACGACAAGAGTTCAGTGGAGGAGAAAGTTCATAATTTAGATCTAAATAACTGAGAGGGACTGGATCTAAATCCTTCAGATGACAGACCAGATAGCATGTGGATGTGGGCCACTTAAGGCAATGATACGGCACTGCTGGCCTTCTTATCGCCCGTACAAAAATGGATGTAAGCCTGAAGTGGCCCACATGTAAAATAGCAAAAATGGCCCAAATCTATCAAATCACATGTGGGCCTCAGTAGGCAAAGATGTGGTGTTCATGGCAATGTGTATTCTGAATGTGACCCTAAAGTGGCCCATATGGTAAACTGATTATGGCCCAAATAGTGCCAACCAAATGTGGGCCACCTTTGGTAAAAATGTGGCATTATCGACAAAGGCTAATCAGGGTGTAAACCAAATGTGGTCCACATATGTTTCAGCAAATGTGGCCCAGGTACATTAAAACATATCTGGGCCAGTTTTGGCAAAGATATGGCACAGTGAGCATTGGCTAATGTAGCTGTGAGCCTAAAGTGGCCCACATATGATGCCACAAATATGTTCCAGTTATCCTAAAACATATCTGGGCCAGTTTTGGCAAAGATATGGCACAGTGAGCATTGGCTAATGTAGCTGTGAGCCTAAAGTGGCCCACATATGATGCCACAAAGGTGGTCCAGTTATCCTAAAACATATCTGGGCCAGTTTTGGCAAAGATATGGCATGGTAAGCCCTGGCTAATGTGGCTGTGAGTCTAAAGTGGCCCGCATATGATGCCACAAATGTGGCCCGCAAATAAAATGACAAATATTGCCCAAATAATTAATAACAATTTGGGCCACTTTTGGCAAATATACAGCACAGTCAGCATTGGCTAATCAGTGTGTAAGCCAACTTGTCCCACATTTGACATAGCAAATATGCCCCATATATTATAAAACAGATGAGGACCACTTTTGATTGTAACACTTGACAAGTGAGGCCACTTCTTGGATGTAACACTGACACAGGTTAATTGAAATGGAAGCTTGAAATTGTAAATATGGCTTAATAGAATTTGGCTACTTTTAGTAGGAGGCAACACAGTTAACTGATGCAGGGTGATCTGATGTGAGTCTTAAGAAGGCTACATATGCAGCTATTTATTCTTTGAAACATGCTTTTAATGGCAGTTTTTTTATGTGTACTGTGCAGCATAAAACAGAAGTGCACTATAATGATTGAACTCATACTGTCACGTTTTTGTTAATTTGGACTTTGTTTTTCCTTTTGCACCGTTTCCTTGTTGTGTTAATTGTATTATTCTGTTCAGGTGTGCCTAGTTAATTATCCTTGTTTGTTCTGAGTACTTAAGTTTCTGCATGTTCAATTTGAGTTTGCTTGGTCTTACGTCTACATGTTGCTGTGCGACATTGTGTTTGGCTTTACCCTGGTTGGATTAAAGACTTACGCTATATAACCGGTCATCTTCGTCGTGTGCTCTTTAACACAGCGTAGCTATGACACTCACAGACTTACTGGTAGAGTCAAAAGCATTTAAGTTCAAACTTGTGAAGAACAGTTTTTAAAGTATTGGACTGTGTCTTTGAATATTTATCTGTGACATATTTTAATTGCTGCTTGTGCAAAACTTGGGTCGGGATGATTTTATCAAGTAGGATGCATTTCTGGAACTTATTTGAACATTTATGGAGGACATTTTTAAATTTTGCTTTACAGTGTTGCAATGTTGAGTATTGTTAATTCATAACTAACTTAAGGCTTAGTGTGGCCCAGATAATGCATATTTATGGTTTTAGTTCATAATTAGCTAAAATGTTGCTGTGTAGTGGCCTGCTTGTGGACCACTGCCATAATGCCACCATTCCATGCAGCTTGTGGGCCACATGAGGAATGTGGGGAAGACCAGGGTTAGAATAAAAATCAACGGTGGCCCACATTAGGGCCAGTTTTGGTTTATTTGGTTGGCTTACATGCAGCAATGCTAAGGCTTACTTGTGGCCCAAATTTGGCAAACAGAACAGGACTGCCCAAATGCCATTATTCCACGCAGTATGTGGGCTGGAGCAAGGTGTTGGATCTGGGTCAGAATTAAAATATATGTCGCCCAGATTTGGGCCAGTTCTGGTTTATTTTATTTATTTATTGTCATGGCTGATATGCGGCCTTCCTATGGCTTGCTTGTGGCCCAAATTTGGCAAACGTGAGCGGACTGCCCAAGTGCCATCATTCTTCACAGTATGTGGGCTGGAGTAAGATGTTGGATCTGGGCCAGAATTAAAATTGATGTGGCCCAGATTTGGGCCAGTTCTGCTTTATTTGGTTTATTCATGGCTGACATTGGGTCTTCTTTTGGCTTGCTTGTGCCCCAAATCTGGCAAACAGGAACGGACCGCCCAAATGCCATCATTCCACGTGGTATGTGGGCCAGTGAAAGTGTCAGATGTGTGCCTGATCTGGGCCTCAGGAATTTTGCTATCTGGGAGACCGCTCATATCTGCGGCTCTGTAAGTTACTGATTCCACACATACAAACCAGAAACATATGCTACACATGCGTATGTGCAGCATAAAGCTGCACTGTATGCCATGACAACTAGTCTTTCAATTCGGTTGCGTTCACACTGCAGGACTTCAACGAAAACGCGGTTGTGAGTTTGGTTATAGAATGCGGTTCTCACACTCATAAAAAAATGAATGTAGGCTATGTGTGAACATAACCGTATTAAGGACTCAAATATACAGTAGAGTACTGACAGCTGTATTCTGTTGCAATGTGAATGTGCCTTTGAGCCAAACCTGTGACTCAAAGCTGCCTGTTTTTGTTTTTTTACTGTAATTTTACAAAAAATATTTGAACACTTTGCCCCAATTGACCCATTAGAATCAGGTATTCCAGACAGCCATGAAAGGTCTGTCACATGTCCACGTATCCCTATATCCTATAAAAAGAGTCATATAGTGATTTATATCATCATTGTTTTTTGTAATTACATTATTTAGGCTGAATATAGGTTTGGATGTGAGGGGATTTCTCACAAACACACACTAGATGGTCATTCTTTAGCAATCAAGCTGTTAGCAATGAACCCCTCATCCTTATTTGCTTTCCGACTTATCTGCTCCTCTTTTGTTTACAAACCCATTGAACTGTTTACTTACCATCTGTTGGTTTTTGCAACATTAGTCATGTTTGACCTATGATTCTATCAGCTCATTATATGATGATAACATGCTTTACTTATATGTGCTACATCAGCTGTGATCAGGGTTTAGATGTCAATGACACCAGCATTATTTACTAAGGTTTACCTTTGAAACATTCGCAGCTCACCTGTCTGTCCTGGATTATAGATGGGTTTATCAGTCTGGATAAAGGTCAGAGGATTGTAAGATTTGAACATGACTTTTCTCTCTTCAGTCATCTTGAAAGACTCTCCGTGAAGTTCTACTTTCATTCTCTGCACTGATTCTGCTTCTACCAGAGGAGCCTGATGAGAAGAAATATCCTGTATTCACAACCTCTGCAAACATGTTATCTAAAAAAAAAACTAGATACATTATGATGACAAACATATTCATTATAATATGCTAATGACAGACATTGAAGTTAAAGCAGCGGTGAAATTCTTCCTTGGCTTTCTCTTGTAGCAGTAAAGTGCTCTGGTCACCATGAACCAGATAAATGTTCATGGCAAGGCTTTCATTGGGCTTGAGAAGACTTGCACACAGTTTGGCCTCAGATCCCGACTCGATCACTGCAGGAAACGTCACCATGAAATATCTATTGAAAGATAATAATTGTACAATATTGCCTGAGGCATTAGATACGCACGTTCCTTATACATGTTTTAAGTTGTCCGTCAAACAGCAAACATTTATCTTGCAACACAGATCAGTTAAATAAATACAGGAGAAATCACAACTTAACCTGCACAATGACAAGGTATTCTAATAATTTATCATACCTAGAAAACAAAACATTTCTAGTTGTCCCAGAAAAGTGCAGTGGCATCAAAAATGTCAATTTTCATTTAAAAAGATTTTAATGCCCAAGAAAATATTTAAGAATCTGCACTATTTAAAGGTTCATTATTATCATTTGAATATTCTGTTCTCATTAAACAAAACGGGCACCAAATACTCATGTCAGTTCCCTTCAAACAATGGAAAAGAAAAAAAGTAAAATATTTATTATTACTGACAACCTTTGATAATGGAAGTTTGATTGAAAACAGAATAACTTCTTATATTCAGCAGAAATCATTAAAAACTTACGGCCCTGATGTTTGTCCATTCACACAGACAATGAGGAAAGAGACCAGAAGGAGCCATTTCCAACAGCAGCTAACATTCAGATCCATGATGACCAGTGATCGTGAGATTAACTGGACCGTCTCTTATAAACGGACTCTAAAGGAGGTCCTTCAAAAACAGTTGTATTGATCATCTGATTAATGATTCAACCATGTAGGCAATGCAGTTTGAAAAACTTGTGCTAATGTGCATTGGTTGGTTTGTCCAAACATTAATTTGTGACGATGAGTTGAATAAAGACCAAGCATCAAAATATCACAAGCAGTCTCACGTAAAGAGAAGCTTTACTCTTGCACAAAATAAACATAAAATAAACATTCAGTTCTTAATGAATGTTCCTCACGCTCTAATTCTGAGTTGAACAACTTAAATATTGCATATTGGAATGTCCAAGCATGTAAACAATCTAAATAGTCATTTTATTTGCAGTCAAAAGAGATGTTGAAGCATTCAATTCTTAGTCAATGACATGCAAGAACTCAACTGAAATCTTTAAAGTACAAAGTAAGTGTACACATGTGATCTTCTGAAAACATACTCCAACTCTTATCTTCATCTACATAGATTTGCACAGCTACTGACCTTTAACTCTGTGTAGACAAATAGTGGACTAGAGCAACTGATAATTACCATCCAGAGGTACATACACCCACTCAAACTGAGTGGGAGAGTAACTAACTGTAAGTTACTGTTTGCATTTGTCTAATTTGTTCTCTGCCTACACAATAACAGTAAACATGGCTTCTCCAAAACACCAAAAATCTGTTGTGTAATATTAAATGTGCAATTAAAATGCACTTCCTGCTATCTGCAATGATATGCTATGATTATTTTTTATTTCGAGGCAGAATATTAAATAATGCTGAAGTAAACATTAATTGGTATAGCACTGTTTTTATGTCATTACCTTTAATCTCCTAATTGTTAACTTTATTTCTGGAAAAAATATATAAAAAATAGTATGGCTTCCATACTCATTGCACTCATCTTAGCAAGGTCTGACTGAGTCCCTGCAAAATTCTGAGCAATCATTCCAATTCTGAGCAATCATTGGTTTAGTGGTTATTTTGAACCTTGTTCTGTTTATCTCTACTGTGAATCTTGGATTTGGATGGGTTCAACACTAGAACCGCCGCGGAGTAAATTTGACCCGTGGCTGTTTTTCAAATGTACATAACAGATTTAAAATAAAACATTCAAGTCTCCCAGTCATTGACTTTTACTAAAATTATGTAATTTACAATCCAATGTTGTTAAAATTTATTTAGATAAAACCAGATCAAAAAACGGGGCATACCTAGCGCCAGTGCACTATATAATGCATGCATTTTCGCGCTGTCATGTATGCTTAAGGGTGAAAATAAATGACGTTTATAGTGAATGCCCCTATAAATTGTCTTATATTTACGATTTAGTTTTAATCCAAATGATGCGTGCTAGGTGAGCGAACATCAATAAAGATCACACAACAGAAGTGTGCGCGCTCTCTCTCTCTCTCTCTCGCCCTACCATTAAGTAACTTGTGCATTGTTTTACTTACATATTTTTTACATATCCGACCGGACTACAAACTTTCCAGTGATGTCTGTGAGAAAGGGATTCACTGGACAAGCTCGCGCATCTGTGCCGCCGCGCGCTCAATCCACTCTCATCAGCTGGCGCAAATCAGCTATACAGCCGTTAATACCGAATGTTTTATATTCATTGCATACATATACTTCGTAGACATCTTTAATCTCTAATAACCCCATTCTGCTGTCTGTTGTCGGTATTTCTTTGTCTGAATATGGCACTTATCACATGCTGTGTGGTATTGGCGTTTGGTATCGGGACATTTTAACGAGTACGAGTACAGGAGCTCAGTATCGAGCATCCCTAATATATATATATATCAAATAAATGTTAAAAAAATTTTCTCGATTGTAGGCTAAATGAATCAATGTAAATGTAAGAAATGTTGATTTAAATGTTGCCCTAGACCCTGGAGCTTTTCAGATGTTTAATGAATTCGGCCTTGAATTTTATTCCCCACTGAAATCATCACTTTTTTTATTGCCTAATAGTGCTCACTGTGACGGCAGACAATGGTATTCAGGACATGATCATCTTTAATTCCCCAGCTTAGCGTCAGCCCCTTCAAGTTCCTTTGCAAAACCAGTCGCCTTCAGCTAAGTATCGATGTTGCAAAATGGGAATTTGCAGTTTTCTTTCAGCATTGATTGACATTAAGAGACTTCCCGGTCCACCCACTTTTGCTGTTTACTACAGCACACTCCAGCTTGGCCAATGGAGGCGTCGAAAAACAAAGCAAACCTTTCATTCCACTTTCCTTGACTATAGCAGGCTGGAACACGTCAAGATCTCCCAGTGCGTTAAGAGTGCTGATGCGCAGGTTCTATCTCAAACTCTCCCAGGGGATTTGGCTCAAAAAAACAGAAAACAATCACTCAACTCCTTGACACAGAGTCACTCATGGTAGCGAGGCCGATCTGCTTACAGTTGTTGACACGTGCGGCTCTGTTTTTGTTATAGTCGGGTTTAAATGTCATAGATCGATATCTGTACATCAGAGTAGCTCTTGCTTCTAAAGAAACTCTCGAGGGAACGTCAGCACATTGCCTTAATCGTAGTGGCCTTCACCCAAACACTGCCTGGTGTCTGGAGCCCCATGAGCTTTGAGACAGGAAATGTGCTTGTACTGTCAGATATGCACCTCTGCAGCCAATGCCGCTTCAAGAGCAGCTCTGTTGAATTTTTTGTAGTTTTCTTTTGTCACAGCTCTTCAGTGACTCGGTGCCTCTTCTCAGCTTTGTTCTATATCAGTGTCAGCTCTTTATAAGCCGTAATGTAACAGGCAACCAGAAGCATCCCATTTTGAAGGTAACAGAAGGAACACCTCCCAAGTGACTGCAGCTTGTGGAAGAAAAGCTCACTAAAAGATCACAAGACTGCTTTTGCAGGTGATGTCTGTGAGAAAGGGATTCACTGGACAAGCTCGCGCATCTGTGCCGCCGCGCGCTCAATCCACTCTCATCAGCTGGCGCAAATCAGCTATACAGCCGTTAATACCGAATGTTTTATATTCATTGCATACATATACTTCGTAGACATCTTTAATCTCTAATAACCCCATTCTGCTGTCTGTTGTCGGTATTTCTTTGTCTGAATATGGCACTTATCACATGCTGTGTGGTATTGGCGTTTGGTATCGGGGCATTTTAACGAGTACGAATACAGGAGCTCAGTATCGGGCCCGATACCGATACCAGTATCGTATCGGTGCATCCCTAATGAAAACCACTTCTTTCCTGGTAAAAAAAAAAAGAACTTGATTTTCAAAATGTATTGATTTCGCAACAGCTGAATGTAAAAAAGCATTTCCCAAAAATCAAACATTGTTTACCCCTCACGCATATTATCACGTCTGGTTGGAATACTAGAAGTAAAAACATCAACATAACATACTCATGGGCATTAAAAAATGTTTGTTTTTTTATTCTATGCTTCTATGTTTTTCCTTTAAAGAGAGTACCCCCTGCAGTACCTTGACAGATCTGCATAAACAATTACATGTAAATCAAGAATAAAAAAAACAGTGACCTCACCATAAGTTGTTTTCATTAAAAAAATGTTTTAGTCATTTGTATGCTAAGTGATTTGTGTAACTGTATTGTTGATGGGACGTGTACTCTGTCTCTGACTGATCATCACCTGAGGGAGATATTGATACAGAGAAATTAGCTTAATAGCAACTGATACTTTTGAATCACATAATAAAAACCCAAAAGGCATATGAAATCTTAATTGTTTGGTAGTAATCATACACTTTAATCACAGCTGGTTTGAGATTCTTCACTGGAAGAACCTGTTTCAATTTTATTTGGAGATTCACTGGAATTCTAATAACAGGATCATCAATCATGTAAAATCTGAATGATTCACCATAGCATATGAATGTTGCTGTTTTCTCACCTCTTTCAGATACACAATGACATGATCATCTTTAGAATCGACCCGCTCCACAAGTGATGTTCTTGAATGGCACTGAGGTTCAAGCTGTGGGGATTTATATATATGAGATATTATTTGTCACATACCAAACAAGAGTACACTGAAAAGCTATTTTCTGCAAGTTATTATGCTGTTCAAGTGACCAGTTATTTAATCTGATTAAATCTGTACATAAATTATTGAAACTAAATACCATTTATCTGCTTACTATTTTAACTTTCTAACTATTTTGGGGGAAAAAAAGTGAGAGTGAAAAGTTACAAATATTTACCATGTATTCTCATCACCGTGTCCAAATGTGCTGTATGCACCACTGTTATGTCTGTAGTTCAGTTGTCTCTGGTATCCTGTTGAGTTTGAAAATTATTAAATGTTTTGAGTTGATTAAGTGTGTCTGAAGTCAAATGTGTTGTGAATTATTTTCTCTGTATTTTCTTGACATGATTGATTTCTCTCACCGCTCTTAAGGAAGCAGGTGGCTCTCTCTCGGATGGCTGAGGTGAGCTGCTCCGTGTTTTCCAGATACTGCAGAATGTAAATATTGGGAGAAAGAACAGCCACGTTTTGTTCTCCACAGCCGTACGGCATCCATAATAGTCTGTGAAGATTCCTCAGTGCACGACCCAATATGTCTCCTACAATCCAAACACAAATATAACACTACATTTTAGAAACCCAAACACAAACTCCTCATTTCTGCTTGTGTATGTAAATGTTACTAATGATGGAAACTGTTGCCTATGAACCAGAGAGACAGAAACACATACTGTATCAGTGATCAGCAGAGAAACACTATGATGCTAAATATTGTCTGCAGACAAACCCTTTGGACACAGTAACCAGCTGTAGGTCTCTGTCTTTTCCGTTCCTTCAGCCTGGAGTATAAAACAATAACATCAACACATCATACTGACATAAGCAGTATTAGGATCATGGATAAATGACGTCTGAGAGTTGTTTGACGTGTGCTGACCTGCAGAAGTAGACTTCGTGTAACTGTCAATGCGTCCTCTCTCTGAGACGCTCACAATCTCATTGCCACACACAGTCTGGGACGCCTCTGCCTCTGCACTGA